GCTGAGATTACATCTGTCCTCCTATAAGAACTCAATAAGACTATGACCCATTATATAGTTTTCACTCGCTTTTCTCTTAGAAAATTACTCTTTGTTGGAAGAGGAATAACCATTTCCATTCTTATTACCACTTTTTTACCACTGTTGTTTATGTCCTCTTATTTTCTTTCTATGTGGGAAAATTAATAGAAGTTGTCATTACAGTTTTTGTTGAATACTGAGGTTGTTGAGACTAGTAAGTAATCTTGTGTCATAATGAAATACTTGTTTGATATTAAGTATGTATCCTTTGAATCTGCAGATACTTTTTAAAATTCCTTGATGTTTTAGCTAACTTTTATACAGAAAATGTGATTGCAAGGACCAGACGTGATGTATTTGGAGTAATGTTGAAAATTACTAGAGTGAGTAATTTGTAAATGATAGTGTTTTATTAACTTATCTGCAATGTTATGGTAAAACAAACTGTGGGTTTTAATGTATTGTTAAGTTGCAAGTTAGCGTGCAAGTCTAATTTAAATTATTGAAAACGAAAACCAAGGAACATAGATCCCCAGTATTAGTTCACCTATAAGGAATAATCTTTCCCATTTTGTTCAACTAGATCCTTGGGCCAAGTGAAATTAGGAATCTCATGTGGTTTCAGTGGGTTTTTTTTGCATTTTTGTTTCCTGTATTTATTGCAGATTTCCACTTGGATACCTTATCTTTGATGGCAGCATGCATGCCTGGCCAGAACAGAACACCTTGGGCTCTGTTCCTGCACTTCTCAATACTCAAATGGGCACTGTAGGTTATACCTAGCATTTCCAACCTCATGTTGTGTGGTGTTATGATAATGTCCTTTGTATAGAAACCCATCATCTGCAGCAACCTCATCTCTGTAGTCGCAATAAGTTTTACATATGGAAGTGGCTGGGCTTTTTTTCTGTTAGAATAACTCATTCAGACTCTGGTAAGGTTCAGTCATTCCATTTTTCTCACTTAAGTTTGTCAACTTTTGTCTCCAAAACGAAAAATACTTTAGTTCTGTTTACATAAGACCCTTCATCATTGTTTTCATTATGGAGAGGTAGTCTTAAAAGCATGTACTCTCTAAAAAGCTCCTTAAAAGCCATCTGCATATCAGTACCTCTGATGCTGTGAAATGTTCCATGCAGGCACAAAATTGTTTGCATGAAGCATCTGGCAGAATCAGGGCCTTAGTAAGTTTTCAATGCCATTAAATGCTCTGAAATTAGAGGCTATATTTGCACAGTGGCATCTAGAATACCCAAATAGTTTATGGCCTCTTTCTTTATATACTTAATTATTTTAAACAGAAGATATTGATAGCTGTACTTCTTTGCTGTTTGGACTTTATTCAGTATTTAAAACCATTTGCCACTTAGTTATCACCCAAAATAGTCTCAATTCAGAGGAACATTCACTGAATTAAAGTAATTTTTTCAAAACAACCTGTATGACTTAAGAGTCTAAGCTTTGTTTTCAGAAGGAATTTAAGTGCTGGGCATCAACATCGCTGCAACTTGTATACACCTAACTTTGAAAGAGGAATTCAGTGTCTGCAATAACAACTTAGACATTTTGGAAGATACAGCCCTTAGTTCCTAAACTCTTCACTGATCACCAAATATTTCAGTGTGAATGTTTATTTGACAGTTCATTTTAATTTTCAAAACTTTTCTCTTGACAGTCATTCCAGTGCCATTCTGTGCAGTGCCTAAGCAGTTATTCTGAGAGGAGCACTTAATTGTGATTATCAATGGATTTGCTTAGTTGTGTTAACATGCCCAATGAATCTCTCTAAGGCCTTCTTGTCTTGGAGTCTTTCCATTTGTACAGTTGCCTCCGCCTTCCTTGGGTTTGGTCATACTTTTTTGTCATTGATTGTGTCCTACATAATTAATCTCATTCAGCCTGGCATTTGCTTGTATTCAATTCAAGAGTCTTTTCTTTGGCACAATTTTGTTATTGTGCAAACTCTCATCGTGATGTTGATCATTTTTTCTTCAAATCAACGGATCATAACCAATTGCTCATTCCATCCAGATCCGCAAAGATCTGCAACATGATGCTGTGGTATATCCCAAGTGCTGAGGCAATCCCCATGGGAAGTTGCATAAACCCATACAGTTGCTAAAAGGGGAATTACAAGTGCAGTGTTTTGCACTTTCTGTGTTTGGTCAGACTTGCCAAAATCCTTTAATATATACCCCAAAATAAAATTATTTTGTCACTCAAAGTCCTGAATATGATTGTCTGGATCCTCAGTTGGTGTAAATTAGCGTAGCTCCATTGCCTTCGGTGGAGTTACGCTAAGATACAACAGTGATGATCTGGCCAGATGCCCTCAGCTGCTCTCTTGGGTTAGCATTCATGTTTGATTGCCTTATTTAAATCTTTTGAAGTTACAAAATTCCTTGCATTGTTTGGTTTCTTAGAATGGCCAATTGCTGACTCGATTATTTGGTGTCTGTATCTGCACAGTAACATCTGATTTTGCCATGCAGTTAAGTTCACCCCTTTATTGTTATCTCAGTGCTATTGGGACTTTGTGTGGCACACATTTTTTGCAGCACTGTAATATCTTTATCAATGTTTTATATCTTTAAAATATCCCATATCCCTCATAAACGCCTCATCATAATCTTCTTTTACAATATTTTTTGTATTCCCAGTAAGTGGAATTTACATTTGCTCATCTGCATGTACAAACTGCTCTTCTACTCTAACACACACAGAATTTCCACTGCGTCAAAGTCTGCTGGTTTCTCTCCTTCTACAGATAATGACATTGTGCTCTTTCAGCATGGGCTCATTTGGTGTGCACTGTGTGAACCAACCTTAGATTTTGAGGAGTATTTTAACACTGGCCACCATTAATTATTTTTGTATGCTTGACGGTGCTTACACTGCACTTAGCTCCAGCAGTTTCTGTTTTCTGAAATAAAGAAGAGGCAGAGGAGGACTGCAGTATAAGCACATTACTATTGTTAGCTATTATTTTTGGACTGTGGTAAAAAGGAAAAAGAAAAGACATAGCCTTGAAAAAAATAAATCTAAATAAGTTGTTTTTAAGATGCAGTTTCCAGAATTATACTATTTATGTACTTTCATTAAAATGATCAGCTGTAAAGTAGTCAGAGTGATATTTAAAATCCTGTCTTCAGGCTTCAGAGTTAACACTACACAGAGATGAACGGAATCTAGTTTCCAAATTTTCAGACTGCAAATTAATGGGGACATCATTATGAAAGCATATGATCAGCTTAAAAGAGCTATAAATATAATTTATTCAAAAGAGATTAGGTACTGGAGCACTTTTCTTCTGTATTAAGTAGGAAAGGAATCAAATCATGCAGACACATTTTATAAGAAACCTCGCCATAGTCTTTCTTTTCTTTTAATTTTATTTTTTTTTTTTACAGGTAGAGAACTAATTTTTCCAGGCCAGTCAGTCTGGCACTTTTATTGAACACGTAATTCACACAAAAATTATGTTAAAGCTGACCTAGTAGAAAATCACAACTTACTCGTTTTGCCTGTAAAACTATTTTTTGTTTGCTTGTGTGAGCTAATGAAAGCTGAAAGAACTAAAATGACCTTTTGTTAAATGCAGGCTACTGAATGCTGAATTCAGATTTTAGTAGGTAAAAACCATATAATTTACTTTTTGACTATATTATGTGAATCTATAATTCAGCCATGATATAGACATGATACTAGAAAATATATATGAAAATGAAAATAATTCTTGGTTATTTCTTTAAAATATTTGTTTATTTTTCTTTTAAATACCAGGGTTATTCTTTAAAAGGGAGTGAATTCAGTATCTGATATTTTCACTTCTGTGTATTTCACAAATAAGTTTTAATTTAGAATTAAATGTTGGGTATGCTGGACACTGCAGAGATAAATCACTGGTTTTGTTCCCCATGAATATGAGTTATAAAGTCATTATGGAAAAAACAGGGAAATCATAAAAATTGATATGAAAAGAACTGAATAGTTTTTCAAAATTATAGATTATGGGTTTTTCCTCAAGGCTTCTCCAGGAACCATTGTAGGTGGTGATTTGTTTTCCTCTGATGCACTAATCAAGAAACATCTGTCAGGAGAGCGTAAGTATGTTCCATAAGTATAGGCATAATGGAGGAGGGGCAAGGGCCTTGTCTTTGAATAACACCCACTTCACCTGTTCTGACTCCAGTGTGAAGAATCTGAAAGAACAAAATTATTGCAATTTTTTTTCTTTATTTTTTAAAGCCAGCTAAGGTTTAATCCTCAACACCCCCATTCACAGAAGATGACTTTCAATGGTTCTGAGTCTTCCCTGAGACCTGAATCCAAAGTCCTCTGAAGTCAATGGAAAATCTCCCACCATCTTTAACTGATTTTGGATCTGAGACAATGTCCTGTAACTGTGAAAAGCTTTGCCTGAGCAGCATGTTTTAATGGAGTAAGAACAGTATTGCAAGGGCAAATTCCATGCATAATCCCATGAGTAGAATTTGCACTCCTTATACTTGACAAAGCCAGTTTCAGGTTGTCATAGACTGAGTCCTACCATAACTTGTTTGTAATACCAAGAAAATGGTATTTTTAAGTCATTAACTAGTCAAATATTGGTAAGGAAGTTCTTTAACTTTTATTTTACTTTTATTTAACATAGTAATCCTCTATAAATTAAATAAAAGTAATATTTAATGCATATGAGACATAATTGTCTGCCAGTTTGTATGCATAACTTGTATCCAGAATACTATGTTTTAACCATAGTTTACCTCATTTTAATTCCATTATTATGAATTTTGGTATTAACTCTACAAAACCCAGAATAAATGCTATTTATTCACAAATAGGTAATAAGAAAACATGTCAGGATCATGTATCTCAAATATTTGCAAAAATCCTTGTGAGTGTTAATGTACCACAGACCAAATGTGGTTTATAACTTCATATAAAGTCCTATGAAGTCAAGGATGATCTCAAAAATAATTTTACTCCTTCTTAAAGTTTAAAAGCTGTGATTTAAAGACAGCGGGCTTATCTTTAAGGCTAGGAAAAACTTTTCTTTGTCTGTTTCTGTCAATGAAAATACTTTCCATTTAAAAGTAAAGTAAATGTAATGAATAAAGGTACTTTTTTCATATAAGTTTCCCTCACCATAAATAAGGGGAAATACAGCACTTTCTAAAAGCACTGCCAGTGGATTAAGTTCTGTGCAAGAGATACAGTCCGCAACAATGAATACTGGGAAGTGGCAACCTACATGAGACATTTCTGTAAGATGTAGTGTTTCATTTGACCTTCCTGAAATGCTATAATCATCTTGAAATTAGTGGTTTTCCTATGGCTGAAGGGGTGTTAAGGCTGGAATTCTGCCTATTCCTAGTTCATGCCAGAAGGTTAATAAAATTTATTTCTTCCATGTTATATAGAGTTGTGGATCACAACCTCTGAGCTAATCAAAACAAAGAATTTGTGTTTCAGCTATTTTTCCTGATTTTCCTCAGGAAAATTCTCCCAAATCCTCATCAAAGGGGGCAATTAATTAGTAGGAATGTTTGTGAGAACAGTGATTTTTTAAAAATATTTTGCCAGAGTTTGAATACAGGATGAAAAATTCACTCCGAAAATAGAAAGTTATTGTTCCTCTTTGCCAGCCTGGAAAGAGAAAAATATTAATCAATGTTTAGATGAGATCTGTATCAACGCTAACCAAGTGAATTAGAAATCAGAGTAAGGAGCTGTAAATAGATGCTCAGGGATATTTGGCTATAAGC